TGTTGACTCATGTTCAACTTGTGATCTACTAGGACTCCCAGATCCCTTAAGCCAGGTGTCCTCTTGTGTTCAGTGGTTTTGTATACAAATAGATTGATGCAAACTGCCCTTGACAGTCAGTGTGGTATAGTGATTTGAGTACTGGGCTAAGATTCTGGGAGACCAGGGTCTGAATTCCCCATTTAACCATGGAAACCTACTGAGTCATCTTTGACAAGTTGCAGGCTCTCAGATGAAGGTGATAGCAAATTGGCTAGGAATAACTCTTGCCAAGAAAACCTGGTGTTAATGTTTCTCCAAGTCAGAGATGACGTCAAGGGACAAAATAACAACAATGAGGCTGCCCCTAGATAAGCAGATTTTTCCTTCAAACTCTGCATCAATATGTGTGTACACAGTTTTGCACACCTTTTTCGTTCTTTGTATTTTTCCTCCCTTTCCTTCCACAAGAGGGCACTCGCATCATTCACATTCAAATCATTCATCATTCGCCATGAGTTGAGGTCAACCTGAAGTCAGTTAACAACAAGAAGCATGACTAGACTGCCAACAAAGAAGAAAGAGCTAGAATCTTAAGCTGCCTGTTTATTTGCTGTTTCCTTTTATATATTTGAAGGCAGAATTCCATGAACTGTTGTCACATGAATACACAAACACACACAGAGAGAGAGAGAGAGTGAGTTCTGGTTTGTACATCAGCTTGAGGGCCATTTACAGCATTCTATGTATTTGTAGCTTGCTTAATGAAGGCTGGACTAGCTGATGAATTTGACCTCAACACTTCGGTTCTTATTTCACTATTTCAACAACTGCGGACTTTATCACACCGGGGGGCGGGGAGAGGGAATCCCGTGCAGAAACGGGGTTTAAAATAGGAAAAAACCCACAAAAATGGGTAGATTTTCAGATGATGTTGCTTTTAAACTGTGCTTAACCCAAATGGAAAGTAGTAAAAAACCGCTTCTTTTTACTTTCGTAAAATCCCAAAAGTAAAAAGAAACGGCTTTTGACTACTTCCTGTTCAAGTTAAGCACAGTTTAAAAGCGATGTGTGTGAAAATCTACCTGCTTTTGCAGGTTTCCCCCACCTTTTAAATCCTGTTTCTGTATGGAATTTCCCGGTGTGATAAGGTCCTGTGTCTCCCACTTTACTTGTGGGTAACAGACTACCTTAAGGGGGCACCGAGAAGGTTGCAGGGTACATTCAACTAGGTCCTGCACCACTTTGGAGTTCTTTACCCAGCCTGTATATGCTGCCTGAGGCAACATCTTCACTCTCCCTAATGCTATGGCAAAGATGTTGCAGGAGAATGCTTGTGCCATTGTGTTTTCTTTGCTCCACTTCCCCTAGATCAGGGGTAGGCAACCTTTCCCCTTTAAGGGCCGAGGGACTTCAGCTTCCAGAAGCCTCAGCCATGTTAGCCAATAGTCCCATGTTGACCAATAGCTCCTGGGATTCTGGGAGCTGAAGTCCCTTGGCCCTTAAAGGGGAAAGATTGCCTATCCCTGCCCTAGATTCATGGGCACATGATGGAGGAGATGATATCAGGTGTTTTGTTTTTCCCCTCTGTGTAACTAGGCAGATGCATAGGCTACCTGATTCCAAGCCTTCCTTCATTGCTGGAATAAAAGTAGATGATTATGTATTTTTTTATTCATGATCATGTTTTAACTGTGTTAAGCATCTATTTGTTACTGTATTTTAACCTGTCATTCTCCACTTGGATCCATAGGGAGAGGCAGGTGAGAAATAACAACAATAGTAATAATAGTCATTTTGCTAGAAAAAGATGGCTTCTTTTCCCCACACAGCCTGTTAAATGCCTCTTCCCCCCCCCCCAATAAAGTTTGAAGGAGGGACAGAAGCAAGTGACCAAAAACATTTATGGCTGACTGATGTTCTGTCAGAATTGCTGCATGAGCTGGATCTTAGTTTCTTCCAAGAAAGCAGTTGGGGTTTTTCTTAGGACAGACTTCTACAACATGGTACCCTCCAAATGTATCCCGAGCTTGGAATATTATTTGAACAAAATTAATTTATTAATGGCTTCCTGGCACACTATGCACATTCCAACGCTATCTGACCCCATCCTCATGGGGGCATCCTACACTCATCTATTCTCTTCACCACAGGCTAGTTCCATTGCCAAACTGGATTTGCCACTTCATTTCCATGCACAAAGGCTAGTTCACAATGCCCTTGTTCACAAATGACCATCCTTAAAACTGGGCTTGCCACTTCATTTCCATACACAAAGGATTTTGAATTCAGATTGACATTCTCACACACCTAGAGCATATATAAGTCTGTCCCTGGCTTACCACCAAATGCACCTGAGGAAGTAGACTTAAGACTACGAAAGCTAATGCTGCCAACTTCTTTGTTTAGTTAGTCTCAGAGGTGCTACAAGATCTCTCTACATACTGATTCAACAGACTACCACAGCTATATCTACATGTTATTTATTACATGTTATTCTCTATCCTTCTCTCACTTTTCCCCTGTTTTAAATATATATAAGTGTGTGTTGTGTGCCCTCATGTCCTGTCCTACTTATGGTTACCCTAAGGTGAATCTATTACAGGGTTTTCTTGGCAAGTTTCTTCAGAAGGGGTTTACCATTGCCATCCTCTGAGGCTGAAAGAGTGTGACTTGCCCAAGGTCACCCAATGGGTTCTTGTGGCTGACCTGTGATTCAAACCCTGGCCTCCAGAGTCATAGTCCAATGTTCAAACCACTACACCATGCTGGCTCTTTTATCTTTTATTTTGGTAGCTCACTCATAAAGTTTGGTACTTGTTAAGAGGAGCTCACTAATGGCATATTAGTAACATGTTACTTTTCATAACACTGAACAAAAATGTTGCAGAATGATATCCAAACTGCTGTGTTAGAGGTAAAAAATAATCATCCATTCCACTTTAAAAAGTAGTGCTGCTGCCAGTCATTATATTAGTTTTAGAATACCATGACTGTTGTTATCCTCTCAGTTCTCTAAAAAGTGCTATATTACAGGTAGCATCATTACTTGTTCATGCTGCTACATGATGGGGTGAGTTCCTGTCACTAGTCCTAGCTTCTGCCAACCTAGCAGCTCGAAAACATACAAATGCAAGTAGATAAATAGGCACCACTTCGGTGGGAAGGTAAACAGCATTCTGTGCAATCATGCTGGGCACATGATCACAGAGTAGTCTCTGATAATGCTGGCTCTTTGGCTTCGTAACGGAGATGAGTACAGCTCCCTACAGTCAGACATGACTTGACAACCTTGTCAACAGAGAGAATACCTTAACCTTTACCTATTAATAATTGTATTGTGTTCCTTCCTTGTTACTTTTTGTTTGGCTTTAAACTCCCCAGATATGCTGGATGGCGATTTTGGGACCTCTAGTTTGATG